GACGTGAAGGAGAATGATTTTGTTATTGACTAAGCGCTGAACCAGAATGCAGTGCATCACAGGCTGTCTGCTAACAAGGTTGCAAAAGGAGAAAAATCTCCCTCTTTTGTACAGCCAAGCTGGTACACCATTCCATTCCTGTGTTCAAGAGAAACTGGCTGCTTGGGGTTTGTTTGTTAGTTTTTTTGTTTTCGTGTCCTTGTGGCTTTAGGTGGGTTTGTAATCTGGAAACCTGGCAGCACCTGAAGTTACACTCCTGTCCTCCCAGGAACTTCGGTGGGGTGGGGGCTGATCCTTGAGTATTACATTTCAAAAGAAGGGAAATCCTTGATGAGCATCCTTTTCAAAGAGACAGGGAGAAGATTCACACGACAGCTTGTCTAACACAAAGGCTGCCAAGCGTCTGCAGGAGCCGGCCTTGATCTGACAGCAGTAAGTCTACTTGTGACTTGGAGAAGTCTTGCTGGTACAGTGGCTCAGCCAGCCAGCTGCTAATGGGAAGGTCAGCCATTCAAACCCACCAGCCACTTCCTGGGGAATAGATGTGGCAGTCTGCTTCCATCCAACTTCACAGCAATGAGTTATGTTTTATGAGTTATTTCAGTGGTAGAATTCTCACCTTCCACCAGAGGCCGGATTTCATTCTCAGCCAGCGCCGCATGCACAGCCACCCACCTGTCAGAAGAGGCAAACCTCGTTGTGATGCTGTGATGCTCACCAGGTCTCAGCTGAGCTTGACCACGGAGGCGGCCTGGGAAGAAAGAGCTGGCAGTGGGTTGTCCAGCACTCTGCCAGTCAAGAGGGCACGGAGCACAGGCGCCTGGTGTACAAGACGGCACATGAAGATGGCGCAGGACCGCGCAGCATGGAGTCGGCAACCCCCAATCTGTGTTTTTAACTGCATTTACCTTATACCATTCTTCTACATGAGGAAGGGCATCTTTGCACACTTCACCACTGGATGCCCAAAGCCTTCCAGTGAGGAGTCCGCCACTGAGCACATGTGCTCCTGTTGCTTAAGCCCGGAATGTAGCTTGGCTGTGGGCAGTTCATTTTTCAAACCCTTTAAAGCAACTCAGCGTGGCCTGTAGCCTGAGTCTCACAGGGAGAGGCCAGGAATTGGATGTTTTTAACAACCTTCGGGGTTTCCTAGCATTTATCAGTGCAACTGTGGGTATCGATGCCCAGATCAATAGATCCGATCTGGTCGCCAAAATCTTTTCTGCAGCTATTGATTTTTAAAAACCAATATTGCTATTTAAAATTTAAAAATAGCTTTGGGGCCCACTAAGCTTTCTACCAGTTCTGAGAAGGGGCTGAAACATTTAAAATGGCCTGTGCCTCTCTGCGTTCTCCATGGAAAAACTCCCATTTTCCAGCTGATTCCTTTATAAAAAGAAAAGGGTTTGTCCACGTGTGTGAAGAGGGTTTGGAAACTTGGTCTGGACAGCCAGGGTCAGCAGGCTGGCAAACAGGCAAGCTGTCTGTTACACGATCTCAAGGATTCAATTGTGTTCCTCAAAACGGCTTGCTGCCTTGTACACTGGGTGTCATCCTGGTTGGAAACAGGACTCACTCTATCATGCTACTGAGACCAGGTCAGTGGCATAGTGGTTAGACATTGGGCTACAATCCAAAAAGTCAACAGTTCAAAACCACCAGGTGCTTCCATGGGAGGAAGAAGGGGCTTTCTACTCCCATAAAGAGGAGAGGTACAGTCTTGGAAACCCACAGGGGCAGTTCTCCCAGACCCTATGGGGTCATGAGGAGTCAAAGTCGGCTTAATGGCAGTAGGTGTGGCGCCCTATCAATGCAGGCTATGCAGTACCCCCGATCACTTCTGTGCTGTCGACTCGGCACAGGATTAAATTCACCTATAGGGAGGAAACACTCACCAAGGACAGCTCCCAAGTAACAAAGGAGGACGGAGAAGACGGCCGGAGATTCGGAGCGACGGAGAGACAGAGCCTTCCTTCTCCTGGAGAAGCAGCCCCGATTCCCACGTCTCGCGTCCCACATTGTGAGACACTAAACGGTCACCCCCCGCAGGTCATGGGGATCTCTGTTATAGCAGCACTGCGAACCTAAGAGACCAGGAAGCTCCGTTTAACCAAGACACTGGACCTGTCAGCCAGCACTTTTAATTCCAGGGGGAACTTTCATGAGCAGGGAGCTCTGGGTATCTTAAAGGGGAGTCGCTGTGTCTGCGGCTGCTGTTGGAAGGCTGAGTCCGTGTCAGTCAAAGAACACCACCGCCATGCTTGTGTCGCTTGGGCTGGACACTGGCACTGGACACTGGCTGGAAAAGCCTCTCCTCTTCTCGTGGTTGGGACGAAGGGAGCCCTTGAGGCCAAGTACCAAGAAAAGGCCATTAACTAACACCCTGCTGATGTTCACGCTGTGTCAGCGCCTGGGCGCTGCCCTGGCTCGGCAGCGCGGACACCACTCGGAAGTGATGAGGAATGCAAATTCTCCGATGGCTCGTTGGATCTAGGGCAGCGGTTCTCAGCCTTTAGGTCTCGACCCCTTTGGGGGTCGAATGACCCTTTCACAGGGGTCGCCCGATTCATAACAGTAGCAAAACGACAGTGATGAAGTAGCAAGGAAAATCATTTTATGGCTGGGGGGGTCACCACACATGAGGAATTGTATGAAAGGGTCGCGGCGTTGGGAAGGTGGAGAACCACTGGTCTAGGGATCCACATCGTGTGTCAAATGCTCGGGCTTCTCTGTTAATACGGCATAGATGTCAGCCGGTGAGGAGGTTTGTGGCCCTTCCAGAACAAGAAGTATTGGAGCTCCTGTTAGGCCCCTGTTGGAGACCCCCCTGTGAGGGAGCAAAGTGCCGCCCAGTCTTACACCACCCTCAGGATTAGCTGCAGCTCGTACTTCTGTGGTACATCGGCTCGTTAGTAGCTGATCTTTGGAAGTAGATTCCCAAGTCAGTCTTCCTAGTCTGTCTTCACCTGGAGGCTCTGCTGAAAGCCACCCAGGGAGACAGCGCACACAGGCCTCCCTGAGATGGGGTGGAGGCTGCCCATGGGGTGCAGTGGCTGGGAATGGAGCCCTTTGTGGAAGGCAAGCTTTCTATCAGCAAACCAGCAGTGTTCCCGAGACACAGGCAGACGAGTAAACCACATCACTGCATGTTCCTTTCCTCAAATGGAAGCAATAAGAAAAAGTAGTGCTGGATTATAGCCCAAGGTGTAATGGAAATATCAAGTAGTTTATACTCATAGGATAAAATGACTAAATGGCCAAGTTAATGGAAGAAAAGGCACAAATCCCCAATGCAAAACAATTTGAAATTATTTATATGGCTATTCTGAACAGCCCCTCTGTCTCCCCCCCACCCCACACACACTCAGAAAGTGGAGTGTGGTAGTCCCCTAATCTGGTGTCAATTTAAGGATGAAGAGTGTAGGGGTGGAGTCTAGGCTGTCAATCTGGAGATAGCCAATGAGACTTCTGTGTGGGCGTGGCCTTCTCCTGAGAATTCTGGGAAATCTGGTACTTCCTCTGTGGAGGCGGAAGACACCTCTCTTGCTCTGCTACTTCCTGGGAGACATGGCAGAAGACAAGTCATATGGGCGCAACCAGACCTCAGAAGCCGGAGAAGCCACAGAGAGACCCCTGCCAGCACCACTGGACCTAAAGACTTTGTACCCACTGGCTTGTGATCGTCCTGCATTTGGCTTCATTGCATGTGTTTCGCGAGTCTGAAGAGGACTTTATAGATTGGTATCGGACATATGGGCTTATACTGGATTTATGGACTTGCTCTGGACTGAGCTGGGATATTTTCAGTTCCTCTTGTATATAAACCTCTCCCTTATACGCATATGTGTGTTTACGAATTTGTTTCTCTAGTCTACCCAGACTGACACATGGAGCTTCACTCTCACTCTGTCGCTTCCCCAAAGCTGGGCCAAGCATGCAGAGAACGACTTAATCGATGCAATAGCACGTTTGCTCCTATCCCATGTAGAACACTTGGTTAGAATGCTCACTCCCTGTGGGGTCAAAGACCCCATCCTAGTGGATGGGCTTCCCCAAAGGTTTTGGGAGGTACTTTTGATCTTGGGGGTCTTTCCTCAGCTCTCCTGCCCCCCCTTTTCTCCTACTTTGTACTGTCCCTTCCTTCTCTCGATGAGTTTGTAAGATTCTCAGCTGGCTGTTGTGTTTTTTTTAAATATCTTTTACTTACCAAAAAAAGATGACTTGTACAGTGGGATTCAGTTCTCACAGTTAGTTCATGGTGAATCTCAGAGGCGGTCTCTCAGCACTTCTGCAGAGTCAACGAAGAGGTCTACACCCCACCACAGGAAGGCAGGCAAGCTAGAGCCCAGTCAGTGCCAATTTCCCCCATGAGCAAATACTTGCCAAAGTTTCAGCAGGTGTCTGTCTGCAGGTGAGTCATCCATCCTCATCCCCACCCGCTCCCAGCCAGTGGGGCCCCTCAAGGAGACCCCTGTGCTTATCTGCTACACCTGTGGACTTTTTTTTTCCCCCTCTTGGAAGGTCACACAGCTGGCGAGCTACTTCGAGCCCTTGATCTTGGCGGCTGTCGGTGTTGCCTCCAAGATTCTTGACCATCAGCAGCAGATGACGGTGCTGGACCAGACCAAGACACTAGCGGAGTCAGCCCTGCAGATGTTGTATGCAGCCAAAGAAGGTGGTGGGAACCCTAAGGTACAAATCAGGGTCTCAGCCATGCCAATCCTTCCTTGTAGGTGGTCCTGGCTGATCTTGGCTTCCTTGACTTGTAAATGATCCTCACATACATGCTGTCTACATGACCTTGAGTGCGCATCTGTTTCTCGTCTTTTTGTTATAATTCAGAGTAGAGTGAATTTTGTTATAATTCACTGTACTCAAGAATAATCTAATGGACATCACTAAAGAAGCCCTTCTTTCAAACAGGAACTCATGCACCAATATAGGAGTTGCGGTTCCAACATACATTTCGGGGAACACAGTTCAGTCCTTAGCAGGCAGCCAGCCAGGGGGAACGAAAACAGGGCGGGACCAAGCATGTATCTGAAAAGGTGGGCACAAAGCAAAAGCAGCCCCAGAGCTGGCCCTCGGCATGAACAAGCAGCATGTCCTCACGTCCTGAGGGTGCCTCCTAATGACCTATCCAGAGCTGCACCGGGTCTTCATTGGCTAGTTAATTGTCTAATGTGGATCGCTGGGCCATTCTTCTCCTGGTCTGGAAGCTCCGCTGAAACCTAGTCGCCACGGGTGACCCTGCTGGTGTGGGAAAGACTGGCGGCCCAGCTTCCAGGAGCACAGGAACACACGAGCCACCACGGCACAGCAAACTGGCCGAGGGCTGGTAGGCTTTTCCGTTGTAGTTGTTGCTCGTCTTTGAGGACCTTTGGGCTCCTAACGCCCCTATCATTGTTTTCCTGAACGAGTGCCGTGGGTTTAGCAGACATCTCGCTGGTTGGCAGCGACTTGAGGCCACCAGGGCTGTCAGTCCTCGGCTGTACGTTCCGGGCCCAGGTGGTGACTGGCACTAGTCCCCAGGTGGGGGCGAGGCTTGCAGGGTGAGGTTTATGCAAGATGCCCAGTGAGCAGCAGTGTGCCCGGCACAGTGGAGGACACAGTGCTCACCCCTGACTCTCCTGTTGCTGCTGTGATGTGTCCCGATATTATTTTTATCCTGAGTCCCCATCTGTCACGGAGGAAACATTGTCTATCAAATGATCAAAAGCCTGCCCCTAGAGAAAAGGCCATGGGTTTTAACTCTGGTCTGAAGGGTCCCCCTGGGCCCAGGGCTGGCTTTGGGTTGTATAATGTACACACTGACTCTTGGCCAATGACCAGGTGCCTGTGTGTGGCCATAGGGGAGCCTGGCCCGTCATCAGAGCCTGCGGGAATGTGGTCAGCAGCCCCCAGAGACAGGTGGCCAGGTCCTCTTCTCAGACCACTCTCTCCAAGCAGTGTCCCCTCAGCTCTGGGGACACCTGGGCCTTCTGATAGCCTGAAAAAGGATGCTTCCATTGCTTCCTAAACGGCTCGAGAGGGGACAGGGGCACCAGCAGACTGGGAAGGTCATCCTTGTGAAAATGTCCCAGAAAGAAGAGGACTCCGGCTCACCCGTTACAGGAGGCCCCCCTAGGCTGATGAGTCACCCCGTGACTTTGATCACGTCCTTGGGCTCCTAGAAGCACTGTGCTTGTTGCAGAAAGCAGAGGGGGCTGCCTGCAAGGAGCATACGGCGTAGCTGCCCCTGGGGCTGGTGCCGCCGGGCACATGGTTCCTCCATCCTTTCTCAGGCTGCACGCAGCCTGCATTTTTCTCACCCCTAGTGCTCCGTGCGGGCCTCTCCTCAGCCGGGAGCCTCTGCCTCACTCCCCTCCTCTTACCAGCCCCTTGAATTCTCTTCCACCTGGACACCCCCACTGAGGACTCTTCCCTGAGCCCCAAGCCTGGGTGAGGGGCTCTGCTCAGGAGCGTTAGCTGGTCCTCCAGACAAACTACAGCAAGTGCTGTTTCTCCATGATCTGCCCTAGACCTTCAAGTGGACGGACCTCTGCCCCGTGGCTCTCCTGCAGTCTGGGCAGCTGTAGTCCGATGGTGGCTGGACCTTCGACCTGGATCTAGTTTCTTGACCAAGAAGATGCACACATTCGGGGGCTGGACGAGCTAGGGCTTTTCAAGTACCCCAAGTTGCCTTTACGCAGTCTCTCCAGAGGCAGATTCCTACATCAGGCCCAAAGGCGCATACTTGTCCAGAGAAGGAGGGCGGGGGTGGGGGGTGGGGGGGGGTGGCCGCGCAGGCAGGCAGGGGAGGAAGAAGTGGTGCAGGGGACGGCTCTATCAGCTCTCCTGCCTGTGTCAGGAATCACCTGTGGATTGCATCAGCCCCATCCCACTCGGCACGGGCTCCCCGTGGGCTGGCTCATCATACTTGACAATGCAGCTTGGCTTCCTCTTGATTATAAAGGGGCCTTTCTCTTCTGAATATGTTGCTGATTTTTTAAAACTTATTTTGAAGTAGGCATCATAAAGCAAAGGAAAAATAGAGGCTCTCTTGCTGCGTCCCACAATGTGGATCTAGGTTTTCCTTCCATTTTGTATTTTTAAAGTGAGGTCCAATTCACATCGTGTAAAATTAACCGTTTTGAAGTCTACAAGTTCAGTGGCATTTAATACATTCACATGCTGTGCAACTAATGCTGCTGTCTCATTCCCAAACAGTTCCACCACTGAAAGAGAAGCCTGTGTCCATGAAGCAATTTCCCGCTTTTTCCCCCTTTCCCCCGGCCACTGGCAACCTCTCTTTTGCTCTCTGTTCTGGTCATTGCACGTCCACGGAATCATCTCTGTCCGTTTTCCTGCTTCCAGTCCTTTGGGGCACACACTGCGCCGTGGAACTGGCAGATCCTGTGGTCATCCCAGCTCGGCGCCTTGGGGAACCCTAACTGTCGGTTTGCATTCGGCTGCTTAAGTTATTCTTGCAGGAAGTGACGTGATCGTTAAAAGACTGGCCACTGCCCATGGGCAGCTTTCCACATCTCTTCTCCCCTCCCCTTCCCAGGCCCAGCACACACATGATGCCATCCTAGAGGCTGCTCAGCTGATGAAGGAGGCCGTGGACGACATCATGGTGACGCTGAACGAGGCAGCCAGTGAAGTGGGGCTGGTCGGAGGCATGGTGGACGCCATAGCAGAAGCCATGAGCAAGGTAGGTCTGGACACCTCGCTCTCACTGCAGCCCTGGACGCCGGGTCCGAGGGCTGCTGTAATAGAAGGACCTCGAGTGGGCACGTTACGGACCAAGGAGGGATCTTTTCACAGTTCCGTAAGCTATCAGTGCTGACTCATAG